AATATCTTCATTCCCTTAAAAATCTAGTTCACAGTAGCCATGTGGAACCTTGTTCTCAATAATAATAACTCTTTAATTCAACCCCAAAAGTATAATTTATCAAAGGAAAAAGTATATTTTACCAAAATTAAGAATTCCTCTTCTCTGGTTATACTGTAAAGAAAATGAAAACTCAGAAAAAAAATTCACAAGTACATAACTTAAAAAGGACTTGTTTTGTTTTGTTTTGTTTTGGAGAGGTTTTTGCTATAAGGTGCGTGCACTCGCCAGAAAGACAGAGAGAGAGAGAGAGAGAGAGAAAGCAAGAAATCACCCCCCAGGGGGCATGGCCACGCCACAATCCCTTCTCCTCCAGTCTCCTCTCAAGATCTTGGGCACGCACACACACGCGCCCGGCATGAGTTTAAGCCACTGGGTCCGGGACGCGAACCACTGTCTACTACATGGGAGTCCAGAGACATAACCATAACGCTAACTGCTAGTCCCTAAAAAAGGACTTGTTTTTAGAATATGTGAAAAAATCTTAAAATTCAACAGCAAGAAGTCAATTAAGAAATGGACAAAAGATTTGAATAGCTACTTTACCAAAGATGATATGTAGATGGAAAATAAACATGTAGTCATTTGGAAAGTGCAATTTAAAACCAGTTAAACACTTTTTAAATGGCTAAAATTTATTTTTTAATTTGATGATACCAAGTGCTGACAAGGATGTGGAGCAACAGGGATTCTCTTATATTGCTGGTGAAAATGCATATTGGCACAGCAACTTTAGAAATCTGCTGGAGCATTTTTTCCTAAACTATACTTACTAAACAACCCAGCAATCCCACTCCTAGATACTTACCCAAATGAAATGAAAACGTATGCTCATTCAAAATCCTTTGACAAATATTTATAGTGACTTTATTTATAAGCTCCAAGAATTGGAAACAGCCAAGCTGGAGAACTAATAAACTATAGTACATCTGTAGTAGAATATTACTCAGTAACAAAAAAGAAAAGCTATTGATCCAGGCAGTGAATCTCATTGAATGATATTTGGATCAATCTCAAATTCACTTTGCTAAGTCACATAAGCCAGATTTAAAAGGCTATGTACTATGCGATTTAATTTATATGCTATTCTTGTGGTTTTAAAATACAGCATCAGAAATAAATCAAAGATTGTCAAAAGCTTGGGGCAGAGGCAAGGACTGACCACAAAGAATCACAAAACAAATTTTGTGGGGTGATAGAATTATTCTCTATGTAGATTGTAGTGGGTATTACATGATTGTCTAAGTTTGCAAAAACTCTCAGAACTGTGCACTATAAAGGATGAATCTCACTATGTGCAAAGTGTACCTTCGGTTTTAGAAAAAGGGAAGTCAAAAATAGAGACTTTTTGAGATTCTAGGTAAAGCCTTGAAATGAGGTAAGAGAGGAACCACATTTTCTCATTAGGTTAATGGCTAAAAAAAAGTCCAACTCATTTCTGAAATGATGAGGGCGAGAGTTTAATGTCAATTGACTGGTTTAAATCAATGGAATGGTTTTAGTATTTTCTACCAGACGGGTTGGTATGGAATAGAAATGTGTGTTGCTCAGTGGGTTAATAAATCCTCTATCACCCCACCATGGTCCCTCAGGACTGGACGAGTACTAGAGACCAGGAAGGTGGTACTACTCAGGGCCCACCTTAGTCCCTCCCCATCCCCTTACCCATCAACTCCTCTCTCCTGGCTTCTAGGATAAGTACAGTCCTAAGACTTTTTAAAGACACGGAAATAAGATGTAATGTGGAAGCGGAAAGGTAGTAAGGTAGAGCTTACTCTCCTGGCATTGAAGAGTTGAACACCTGAATTCATTTACAAAAGGGCTTTTGTTCTTCTGTCATGATTGTGGGCTGATAAAAGTTCTTATCAACAAACACGTTAACCATTTGTGAATGTGGTTTGTAAATGTCAACAAATCTGTTAATCTAATCTTTGTCTTGTTCTAGATCTAAATATGTGATTCAGTGTTAATTGAGAATGTATGTGTGTGTGTGTGTGTGTGTGTGTGTGTGTGTGCATTTTTTTTTTTTTCAGAATCTATCCTTATCAGGATTTGGTGGATAGAATTTACCTTTGGAATATCTAGTCCTTCAAGCCTTACTTAGCAGCCCACTGCTATTTAATTCAGGTAGAAGTTGTCTAATGTTTCTCATGGGTGCAAGGCCAGACCTAAACATTTTAAAAGAGCCACGTTTACTATGATATGCACTACTCTCTTCTCTCATCATTTTTTGCCTTTTAAAGAAAATACCTAAAGTCCTTCTACAGCCTCTGAATCTCGCTGTGAATGCCCTTGTAACCTACTCAAATTCTAACATAGTCTACTTACAGAATTTCTATAGCTTTTGTTTTTAGAAGTTTTTGCCTTAGGGTGTATGCACTTGCCATAGAGAGAGACAGAGACAGTGAGAGGGAAAGTGAGGAATCGCCTTCTGGGGAGATGGCCATGCTGCAGTCCCTTCTGTTCTATTCTCCTCCTGAGATCTTGGCATGCATGCACATGCACCCAGAGTGAGTTTCAAGCCACCAGCTCTGGGACTTGAACCATGTTCAGCCATGTGGGAGTCCAGCAATGTAACCACTACACCATCTGCTTTAACACAACAGATCTCATGAAGGTAGGTGTATTAAGGTGTCACCCTGAAAATAACCTACTTGAGCTTCTGCCGAGAGGCTGATACCTCCCTAGACCTCTAAGAAGAGGGTAGGAAATATCTTTCTAAAGTTTGGCCATTAATCCAAATAACTCTCTACTCAGTAGAATTTCAAGTAAAGTGGTAAAGAAAATCAACAAAATATAACGCATGTTTGAGGAGAACATCAAATGTGGGGAAGGATAAAGTAGAGGAAAAGTGGGGTTCCATTCCTGCTATCCATACTTCTGAGCTAACAGTGTTCACAGCTCTTTCCTTTCCTCTGCTCTGAATCCGTGCATGGTCTTTATTCTCTTAGTTTCAGGTTTAACAGTATCTATGGAAGCAAGGGCAGCAGTTCAGGCTTTAGGGAAGATCTGGATGGAGACCCAGACAGGTAGAGGAATAACATAATGAGATAACTATTCCATTGTGCATGGACTACTAATAAGCTCTGTTGATGGATCAAACACTGGACAGAATTATATATGAATAGAAAAGTATCATCAAGTATTTTCTCTTTTAAAGGAAGCAAGTGAGTGAATGTACATATGGGAGTTCTGGGGAGAACGGATCAGGATGTGATGTTGGACAAAATACCAGGAATTTGTTCTCATATGTTTATGTCAACATAAAGTGCTTATCAAAGAAGAGACACTTTCTTATATACAAAATAAATGTTTCCATTTTCTTATACCTTGACTTGTTCTCTCTAGGCTAATAATAGAACCCTGCAAGAGAAGATTTTACAAGTGAGCAATCTGGTAGAAGCCTTTGGCAATGCCTGCACTGTTATAAATGACAATTCTAGCCGATTTGGAAAATACTTAGAAATGAAATTTACCTCTTCTGGAGCTGTGGTAGGAGCACAGATTTCTGAATATCTTCTGGAAAAATCTCGAGTTATCCACCAAGCGATGTAAGTTGGTGGCAAATAGCTCCTAAACTCTGGGAAATATAAACAGAGAGCATGTTTGTTTTAATAGTAAAATGCCTTTCTCATTCAAAATTTTGTTGATCACCTACTATGTGCAAGACATGGACAAAAGATCTCTCAGCACAGTCTTACTCTCACAAATGTTAGATCCAATGCAGGACTCAATAAATAACTTAAAAATTATGCTACGAGACAGAAAACTGAAGACCATCACAGAGGTACTAATGGAACAATGAAACGAGTTCTGAAGTAGGAGAGAACACATTACACAAAATTTATGTGAAATTGGCTTAGCAGTAACTAAGATTTCTTAATTTTAAATGCTGGTATCTATAAATAAATCTGTGTTAATTCTATTCTTCCTATGTTTACATACAAGGGAACAAGTAAAATATTCGGGAATGGACTTCATAGTATTGCTTTTAACTGCTAGCTGATTTAAGCCATCAAGACTAGTCATAGAGTATTGATGCTAGGCTAAACGAGTTTCTTTTGGCAGTCTGTAGTTGAATGACGAAATTTCTCTCCTGTCTAATAACTCCAAAACATCTCTGTTATTCTTATGAGGAAACTGTAGTTAGACATTGGATTCATACCATGGTGATCATATTATTTGCCTGCCTACCTACCTACCTAGTTACTTACTTTTAAAGAGTATTTATGTATTTATTCCATGAGTGAGATAGAGAGAAAGAGGGATAGGGAGAATGAGAGCACCCCCACACACAGGATTTTGACACCATGATCCATCTCCAGCCTCAGCCAACTGCAGATCATGGGAGCATGCATGTCCTACACATTCAGGGAAGTCTGTGGGCTTGAACCAGAAACCTTCCCATGTGGGATTGCCTTACAGAGCTTTGCATTTTATCGCTGCACCACTGTCTGGAACTGATGGTTCTATTACTTCTCATTAAGTGACAAGTTAGAATCTTCCCTTTTTTTATGTTGATTTCATACTAAACATACTCTAAACTATTGTAGAATACTAAAATGTCATAAGAAATTCTCAGGAACATAAGCTCGTGCTATGTATTATTGCATCATTATTTAATACAGGCACCTTCAAATTTGCTGTCCTTCAATTCATAGTAAATGGCAGATAAAATTTGCCTGACATTCAGCTTCCGATTTGAGCCCTCAGTGTGGAAAATTATCCTTTGGTCTACCATTCGAAATACATGAGGAATGATTATTAGACAGATATGGATTTGAATTATACACTATATTTTATTGAATGCTCTGGAACATATTAATCTACCCTGGATAAGATATTTAAACCTTAAAGACCCTTAAAGAATCTTGGCTCTGCAGCTTTCTGTGTGTGTGAATTGAAGCTGTTTACTTAACTTCTCTGCACCTGTTTTTCACCTTTAAAATGGAAATAGTCTTAGTACCTACCTACCAATTAAGATCATGATTATATAGTATTTAGCCCAATGAATGGCACTTAGTATGAACCCCGTCATTAAAGCCACTACTACTAGTAGTGCTGATAGTTGTGAAGATTAGAAGTAACATCTAGGGACCAGACGGTGATGCAGCAGTAACACAACTGGGCCCACATGGGAAAGGTCCTAGACTTGTGTCCTGGGACCTCTCTGAGCACGCCAGGTGTGTAGCACACGCCTGCAGTCTGGGCCAGCCGAGACTGGAGATGGATGCAGTGCGAAGACCCTATTGAGGGAATGCCTCTCTATATATCTCGCTCTATCTCTCTGTGTATCAATAACTAAATAAATAAACCTTAAAAGAAATAGTAACTGGGTCAGCAGGAGGTGCGGAATTTAAGGTGGATGGATCCCACATGGTCAGCTGTGCAATTTGAATCCTGGACCCAGCAGCTTAAAAATCACTCCAGTCATGTGTGCACTCATACTCAAAATCCCAAGAGGAAAATGAAGGAGAAGGGATGGTGGCATGGCCATCCCCCTTTCTTCTCGCTTCAGCTAACTTTATCTCTCTGTAGCGAGCACACATACCCTACCACAAACTAAAAAAAAAGAAGAAGAAAAAAAGAATCTGGAAGATTTAATGTGTTTAATAAATGGCAGTTACTATTACCAGTGTGTACCCAGTGTTGAGAACTTAGTGGATCTGCAAAGAGGGACCCCAGAGTCATGTACAGTGTGGTTACATAACTGCTTCTCAAAACTGTTTATTCTGCTCACGTAATCGCGTAAGCCTCTCTTTCAGACCTTGGGGAAGAACTACCTAAGAGTAAGTTAATGATGCTCCGATGAGTCTACCATGTTGCTCAGTGTTGAGGAGCATCGTTTGTAGTGTGTTCTATGGAACTGAATGCCAGAACACCCTTCACATAGAATTCCATGTGACCAGTATCCCCTGGAGTTACTCAGTAAAGCCCTGGGTTCAAAACAATAGAAATAGTTTTGTTAATGCTTAATGAAACAAAATTATGGTTCTATTTAATGTATGCTATGAATTAAGTGAGCTTTGTTTTCCCAGTTGGACTAAGGAACTACTGCAGTTTTATAACATTGACTATTGGGAAAAAGCTTTCTGAGTTCCAAATTCACCATCAGGTTGAAATACCACTCACTTATGATTTGCGCAAAGCTGCCTTATAATTTTTGAGAAAAGAATTTTTTCCATTTTAAAATATCTATCTTTTTTATTTATATCATATTAATTGCGCAAAGCTGCCTTATAATTTTTGAGAAAAGAAATTTTTCCATTTTAAAATATCTTATCTTGGTTATTTATATCATATTAATTGCTTTTTTTAAATTTTACAGAAGCTTTCTGCAACCTTTGAAAATAAAAATACTAGATACATGGTAGAATAATTCTCTTTTTTTTTTTGCTATTGAGTTATTTTTTTAGATTTATTTATTTATTTATTATTGTTCAATTTGATCAGAGAGAGACAGCGGGAAGGAAAGAGAGAGAGAGAGAGCAAGAAAGCATTTTGCCAGGTGTAGAACTCAAACCATGGTCAGCCATGTGAGTGTCTAGCGCCTTAACCACCAAGCCACCTGCCAATCCTAGTAAAATAATTCTTAGTACATATATTTTTAATTATAAATTTAAAGGCACTATATGATCAGAGTACTGAAAGGACGAACAAGCTCAAAGAGTTTAACTGATTTAACTTTACAAAGGTAGAGTGGGAACCTAGAGTGTCTAGTGAGATGGCTGTGTACTAGCAAGGATGAGAAGCCATAGCTACACCTGGACCTCCAGGGCAAAGGAGAGGACCCGCACTGCAGAGCCCAGTCAGAGCTGCAGGTGGGAGCAGGGAGTTGTGCCTTAAAGGAGTGTAGCCCCTGTCAGTCAGTGAGTGAGATCAATAAAGACCCTCCTTCACCCCCAGTCAGTCTCCTCCCTGTGCTTCGTTGGCTGAACCCAACTGGAAGGCAGAGAGCAAGGGAGCCTAGGAGTTGCAGTCCATGGAGGTCAGCCTTGGGGCCCACAGAGCAAGGCAAAGGGTGGAGAAGGGATCTGAGGGGGTGAGAAAACCTGGGAAGATAAGGGTTTTTTAAAACAAATTTGAGAAAATTCCCTTTTTAAGTAAATTAGCTCTTTTTTTGCCTCTGCCTATGTCATTCCATCCCAATCTCTAATGACATTTATTTTTATACTACTTTTCTACTGGTAGTACTCTTACAATTTGTGGCTTAAACCTTGTCCTAAATATAGGTGCTTTTAAGGAAGAAATTTTTTAAAGCTATTTAATTTCAAGAGAATAAACTCATTGAAGGCCATGCTAAGTAATTGTCATAAATATAAATTCTAGCCGTTTGCACTGCAGTTGTCTCCTGTTACCACAGTTTAGTTCAACCAGCCCTGATTGCATTTCCCTCAGATTTCCAGGCTTTCCTAGAATCTAGGGAGACATAGACGAAGCAGCAGACATGGTGTTCTCTACTGTAGAGCAATTTCTGGATGTCAGGCACTACTCAGCACCTTACAGTCATTATCTTTTAATTCTTACAGTCATATGTCAGGGTGTATAGCCTCTTTTTTTTTTTTTTTCCTTTGGAGAGGATTTTTTGCTATAGGACGCGTGTGCTCACCAGACAGACAGAGAGAGACAGAAAGAGAAAAATCACCCCCCAGGGGGGATGGCCACACCGCAATCCCTTCTCCTCCATTCTCCTCTCAGGATCTTGGGCACACATGCACATGCGCCTGGCGTGAGTTTAAGCTGCCGGGTCCAGGACTCGAACCGCTGTCAACTACGTGGGAGTCCAGCAACATAGCTTTCCTAGAATCTAGGGAGACATAGACGAAGCAGCAGACATGGTGTTCTCTACTGTAGAGCAATTTCTGGATGTCAGGCACTACTCAGCACCTTACAGTCATTATCTTTTAATTCTTACAGTCATATGTCAGGGTGTATAGCCTCTTTTTTTTTTTTTTTCCTTTGGAGAGGATTTTTTGCTATAGGACGCGTGTGCTCACCAGACAGACAGAGAGAGACAGAAAGAGAAAAATCACCCCCCAGGGGGGATGGCCACACCGCAATCCCTTCTCCTCCATTCTCCTCTCAGGATCTTGGGCACACATGCACATGCGCCTGGCGTGAGTTTAAGCTGCCGGGTCCAGGACTCGAACCGCTGTCAACTACGTGGGAGTCCAGCAACATAGCCATTACGCTAACTGCTGGTCCCTATAGCCTCTTTTATATATGATCAAACTGAGAGTGAGAGAATTTTAACAAGTCGCCTAACGTCAGAAAGCTAGTCAGTGACTCCGTTGGAGTTTCACCATTATCTCTCTGAGTGATTCCAAAGCCCACATTCATCCATTCATTCACTCATCCATTTGACAAGTGTTGATTGTCTACTGTGTATAAGGCACAGGAGACACAAAACTGAGTCAGACAGGATTCCTGTGGTAAAGCAGCTCACAGTCTCCTGAAGTGCCTGCATCCCTTGACCAAAGCTTACTGGTCACTCACTGGTTTCTTGTCTGTCAGAAGGTAGTTAATGAATTCGTCTGCCAAGGCTGAGCAG